TTGCTACTAAATATCCCATACAATATTTTATAACTAACCTATCCATATAAGATATTAATTTTGAAGTTAAACAATTTTGATGAGAAAAATCTGTAGTGGGATATCTATCCTATTTGAAAAGTTTACCATATTTGATATTTATTTATTTTGCATAGAAAAAAGATCAATTTACATCATCCCCATCTCCAAACACCCAACTACTGCCACTGTCGCCACTTAGCCATTGCCACCATCGCCACCCAGCCACTATCACCATCCAACCAAGTTAATAAAATCTTCAATAACATAATGACATTTGAACAGTTATAAAGATCTGAAAAATTATTTAGAACTAGCTTATTTTCCTCTTGTATTATTAAATAAAGCATTAAAATGACCAATGGGTTAGGAGTAACATGTAATAAGTGAAGTGAAGAGCTCTCGACCCAATAGAAATATTCAATTGTAGAATACGACATGCACTAATATTTATTGCAAACCTTTTTACTTCAACTAACTAAAAAGAATTTGGCACCAAACAGTGGTGAGCCTTTTTGGTTTTCCTTTATCTTCTTCCTCAAGTTGTTTTTGTTGTTTTGGTTTGGTTTCATTTGAACCCCTTCACCTTTTGGATGTCGCTTTGGGCCACCGAAAGATGAACAATCTGGAAAAGTTAATTCATGCGAGCAATAACAATACAAGCATGCAACAGTCAAAGGATAACTAAGAGTTTGGAATGACGACCCAGATTTTGCACTGACTTGGTGCAGCTTGCGGCCTTGTCTCCATTGATTGTAGCTCCCTACTGATTGTTGTTGATATTTGATTACTGTTATGTGTAATTATCTGGTCACCGGCGACTCCCCATCAGTTCTAACCTTCCCACAACCAACCCGCCCACCACTTGTTTGACAAAATTCCTCACCCAAACCCTTTGAAATATGGAGGGTTATTTTCATTTTCATTTCAGTCTTTTCAGATTTAATATAATATAAATTACTACTTTACCCTTTGACCGTTAAATGAAACATAAACTGTTAATTTAAGGGTGGTAATCTAGAATTTATGAAAGTAGGGTGGGAACTTGTCATTTCGCTAAACCTTGGGTGGGAACATGTTGTTTATTCTTCTATTACACCACTGAAATTATAACGTGGGTTATTTCTTGTGCTTTGAGCAGATATAATATTTCTGAAAAATTGAAACATCTACAGTTTTGACAGGCAAAGGACTTGTATTGTTGAGTTGGCTTATTATTAGAGGTTAATGGGTTGAGGTTTGTTTGGAAAATAGAGAAACTGGTTCAACAAGCAACTATGAAATGAACATAGAAGATCCACTCATGCTTTGAGTCTTGATTCATATTTTGAGGGAAGTGCTTTTCAGTTTTACAGTTAAAAAAATAAATAAATAAAACCAACCAAAAATACCTCTAGATGTGAAGTTCAACTTATAGGAATTTAAGTTATATTATTGTTTAACTGAAAAAAAAAAAAAAAAAAAAAGCTTGATTCTATCACCGTTAATGGTCAGATCTTACAGAAGAAGTAGACCAAATATTTCAGCCTTTTGAAAAAGCACAAACGCATGTTGTTAGAAATATACCAATTACAACTTTCAAAAGCTGGTTACAACCCAACCATAAAAGCTCTTTCTCATGCCAAATGAACCAGACACTAGAAAAAGCCCATTCGCAATTTCAGTCATCTTCATTCAAACTACTCAGTTTTAAAGGTTATTGGCACAATGTAACTGAAAGGACGGTTCTCAAAGTTCATCTATACCCTCTATTTTTACAATCACAACACGCCACGTCATGTTGTCTTCATGGAAATTCATTATACTTTCTGTACCCATTTACCCATTTCTTCATGTGTCTCATCCTATGCTTCTTAACACATCTCCACCCATTTTTTCTTCCTCGCTCTTCTCATCCTATTTCTCTATATAAACAAATTTCACGATATTAAAAAAAAAAAAAAAAGAACAGTACACTACTATAGCTTGAACCTTGATTCTATTAGAATGGTAACAAAATAAGATGATGAGAGATGAGGAAACAAGGCCCCAACACAAAGTGCATAAATTATGGAGAAGATGTTTCAATAAACCAAATCGTAACAATAACAGTAGAGATTGTTATAGTAGAAACTGTTACAGGTACGATTTGGTTTACAGAGACCTTCCCTTCATAGGCCATAGTAGAGGAAGAAGAATGTTACAACAAGTTTGTAGCTTTTTTGACTTAATATTTTGTTGGTAAAAGCATATGTGAAGAAAAACTCCAAAATTGTATGAAGGAGATGAACACAGAAATAGGATGCGAAGAGTGAGGAAGAAAAAAAAGGGTTCTGGAAATTGCAAATGGGCTTTTTCTGTTGTCTGGTTTGTTTGGTAGGAGAGAGTGCTTTTATGGTTGGGTTGTAACCAGCTTTTGAAAGTTGTAATTGGTGTAGGATTTATATATGTATATATTTCTAACAACATGCGTCTATGCTTTTTCAAATGGCTGAAATATTTGGTCTACTCCTGTTGACCGTCTTTTCACTAACTAATCTTGCTACTAAATATCCCATACAATATTTTATAACTAACGTATCCATTTAAGATATTAATTTTGAGGCTAAACAATTTTGAAAAGTTTACCATATTTGATATTTATTTATTTTGCGTAGAAAAATGATCAATTTAGTGTTTGTTAATATTGAAGCCCAAACAATCTTTGAAAAGAAACTCTTTAGATTTTTAAATCAAAACAAATCTCCATTTTTAACCCTAAATTAAATCAAATCTCAAATCCATTTTTTAGATTTATTTTAAGGTTAGATTAATTTTTTTTTTTTTTTTCAGTTTTTGGAGGGAACGCATTTGAGTGACATTGCGGATGTGGTGGCACCTGCCACGCCGGTTCCATATCAGTCGGTATAGCTGTTAGTAAGAGTTATTAGGAAGTATGAAATTATTATATAAAAGAGTAATACTATACTTACAAAGAAATTTTATAAAGATCTTCATACAAAGTGATGTGGTAAAAAATGAATGGATGAGTGAATTTAATGAGTTTGACTTTTTGTTTCACCATTCCATTCATTTTTTGCCACATCACTTTGTATGGAAATCTTTGTAAGATTTTTTTGTAAGTATAGTATTATTGTATATAAAAATTTCAGAAATTGGTAGCATACTGTGTTAGTGCTGGTTGTTAAATTAGTTGATGGGCTTTTAACTTGAGTTTATATTATATAGGGTGGGCTGGCCTTTTAGCTTATTAATAAGCCCAATTATTTGTTGGGTATTGGATTTATTATATATGGTGGGCTAGCCTTTTAACTTTTTAATAAGGCCCAATTATTTGTTGGGTGTTGGATTTATTATATATGGTGCGCTACCTTTTAGCTTATTAATAAGGCCCAGTTAATTGTTGGGAATTGATTTTTACTATTTGGTGGGTTGGCCTATTAATAATATGGCCCAATTTCTTTTGTAAACTCTTTTTCATTCTTTGGGTTTGTGCCTTAGGGAAACTCCCCTCCTTTATTTTGAAAGGGGCAAATGGGGGTTGACTGGAAATGTTTAAAAGTATAGGGGGTTAACTGTTAGGATTTAAAGGGTTAGTGGTTGAAAAGATTCAAAAAGTTTGGGACTAAAAAATGAAGCACAAATATTGGGTGTAACCGGATATTTTGCATGATTATAAATTTCATGAAGTTTCGAGCTTTGTGCCCATATTTACATGCCATCTTTAAAAGAGAATTATGAGACGTTATTACATGCATCGGCATAAGGGTATTCATGAAGTGCGATGCGTTTGAATATTCGTGCAAGTGTATAAGGATATGTTCGGTTGGATTTGAAACCACCCTTCTATAGTACTCATCTCCCTTTAGACATCAGCTAGCACTCTTATACTTATCGTCATGCACGCATTGAGATGGTCCGTCCTACTGAACAATTACAATATCTTACTGACAGGCCCTTGACGAGCTTTAGGCGGAATTACACTAGGCGAATATTGGCTAGTGTGGGATTTTTTACGCCCTCGAGAGTAGACCGTGGGCAAGATTCTATTTGATACCATATCATGACACCTCGAGGGTAGACTACCGATTGTGTATGGTTATCAAGTGATGAGTATACCATCTTAAGGGTAGACTGTGGGTGGTGTGGCATACCATAGCCTCATGTGTGCATTGAGATGACTCATACTACCAAATGATGTTGTTACATACTATCCTACCTGGACAGGATGGGCGCTTGACAAGCTCCAGGTGGGATCACAACCCGAGGGTAGACAATGGGTGGGATATTATTACTTAATGACTTGAGGGTAGACCGTGGGTTGAGTATGGTCATCTTGTGATGCTTTAGCCATCTCGAGGGTAAAATGTGGATGGCACCACCCCAAGGATAGATTGTGCGTGGCCTAGTTCGTTGTTTGTATTAGGGACCCTGCACACTAGTATGGTGGTGGTACAGGTGGTTGTATTAACCGAATGGATGGAATTATGGACATCCAATAGGTATAGGTTGGGATGGAAATTGTGGACATCCAATAGGTATAGCCTGTGATGGAAATTGTGGACATCCAACATGCATAGGTTGGGATGGAAATTGTGGACATCCAGCGAGTATAGGCTGGGATGGAAATTGTGGACATCCAATGGGAATGGGCTGGGTTGAAAACTGTCAACATCTAGCAAATATAGGCTGGGATGAAAATTGTCGACATCTAACAAGTATAGGCTGGGTGGAAATTGTGGACACCCAGCGAGTATAGGCTTGAGTAAGAGTGGATTTCGTGTTGGGAGATACATACTTAGCTTGAATGATTGTTGCTTCGGTTTATGCGATTTAATATGAATGATCCATGACATTTGGAGATCTGGTACGAGGGTACAGATTACTTTGTCTGGCATGAGTTGGTACAATTTTACTAATGCTTCCTTATAAATGTATCTGACACCTGGGATATGTTTTATAATGGTCAATTGCTGTTTTAGGATAAGTCTGTTACAATCTAGAGAGATTGTTGGATAATTCGTGCAGCTAGTGCAGATGGCTGCTCTGGAAGCTATGTTGTGGCTGCATCTGCTGGAAATACTTTTGAATCAGGAATTTTTTTACCAAAGATGTTTAAGCTTTCCATGTTGAAGGTAGAGGAACAAACACTTCAAGAACAGTTCTTTCTCCTTTACCTAACAACAATACGTATAGTAGATTTTCATTATCCAGTATTTTGCCACCAGAAACTCTGCAATGGCGGTACGAAACCATGTGGACCTCTTATTGTCTCGATTGCCAGTTCTCAGAGGGTTGTCAAAATTAATGACATCTGAGATGGTGAGCAGGTAATGAAATGGGAGATTTAAAAGCTGGTGGTAACGATGAATTATTCTAGCCATTCACAATGGAGAAACATAAAAATTAATATTGTTTCCATCTATTTATTTGTGTCCCATAAAAATACGAAAAACTGTGGGGAAAAAAAGGAGAAAAGATTCTACATTCCAGCTCGTTAATTTTCACTTTATTTTTGCACCGTGTTCTCTAATTGATTTGACAGGCTATTGCTAAAGATAAATCCAAAACTTAATGGGTTTGTTCTCAATACTTTAATATTAGGTGAGTTCCTCTTATGTGAGGATTTTGATACCAACTCAAATTCTTGTTAATACATAATATAGGAAAACATATCCTTACTACGATTTCTTGTTTAATACGGAAAACATATCGATTAGGAAGTCATACTTTATATATGCACTATGCAAAATTCCATAAATCTTCACATATCCTCACTGCGAACTTTCTCTTTTACACACGAACACCATGTCTAATTGGTCTGAGCTTCCTGAAGATCTAGTACTCATCCTTCTCAAAAAATTAGACAAGGCATGTGAATATATTCGTTTTTGTGGAGTTTATTTGTCATGGAGATCGATTGGCAAAAGTGATAGTCACCGCATCCGCCATCAACTTCCTTGTCTACTATTCTTCAATGGTAAATTTATCTTCACAACCTGATTCTTCAAGCGGCTGTATAATGTGATGTATAACCTTGTTAGTTTTAGTATGTTAAGATGAGAGGTAATGATAAACAGTAGTATATGTAGAATGTGAAATTCTGCGTTTAGTCTTGCGATGTCAGGGCTTTTTTGGTTAAATAATTTGTTATATACTGTCATTTTTTAATAGTGTGATGGTTTAGCTATGAATTGTGGAACTTTTTTGTTGAACCAGCATTGCTTAGGAATGAAGTTGACTTAAATTTAGATGGCCTTTTTGGTGATTTAAGAAGGAAAAATTTTAGCAAGGGTGGGGGATATTGGTGTTTGGTTTTTTATGTTGTAATTTTTATCTAAATTTATTTACAAAAATTGCATATTTATGTGGATTTTGTAGTTAATAACTTGTGAGATTTAGTATATTAAGATGCTATGGAATGTAAAGCGAATTTGAAATTCTCAATAACTAGTTATCCAAGTTTACTTGTGGTCCAAAACTTCTTATTTTTTATTTTGATTTTTATTGACTCATGTTTGAGACTGGGGCCTCTAGAAAAGGAATGGATTTTAATCTGTATGTGATATTTAGGAATTGAATCTAGAACTTGTGAGAGCAAACCATGGGCCTGAATGATTGAGTAAACTCCCATATTTATGCGACTCCTAAACTGATGTTAAAATTGTTGAACACTTTGAATTTTACCAAATTTGAGGTGATGTTTTTTGTTGATTGTGTCGCCATAAATATTGTAAGACTGTCTCTACTCAGAGTTTACTGGTTTGATCACTTGTTTAACTTGTTTTATGATGTGTTTAATTGCAGGCTGGGCTATACTATGAGGAAGCTTTAGCAGCATTGAATGTTGTACCTCTGAAGGATCATTTTGATAAGGGATGGATTTCTCATGTACAGCTTAAAGCTGCTCTTTTCTATGCTGAAGCTTGCTATAGGTATAGTTTAGAGCTGCATGAGAAAGAAGAGATTGCAGAAGAAATTGCACGGTTGAAGAGTGGCATTAGTGCTTTAACTGAGGCGAAGAAGTCCTCAAGGGGTGCTGCAGCGCAACTTTTGGATGCAATGACCAAGTTACAGGTCAATCTTAATCGCAATCTTGAGAGAGCTATGAAGGAAAATGATAGAGTTTACCTCATGAGGGTACCCTCCCCCAGTTCTTTACCACCTCTTCCAGCATTTTCCATGGTGAAGCCAATGTCAATCAATGAGGTGCTCGATACGAGCAAGGAGAAGATGTTTGCAAGTCTTGTTCCAGATAGTAGTGCAAAGGCACTTTCCAGGTATACTGAAATGGTTGACGATGTCATCAGGACACAAGCTGAGAGATTGCAGCAAGGAAGCGAACTAACTCGAGTGAGGCTCAAGGAAATGGACCTGCCAGATTCTATTCTTGCCTTGGAAGGAAATATGACTCTCCCTACGGATCTTAAAGAGGATGTGGAAGCTGTGCAGATCAGTGGTGGTCCGGCTGGTTTGGAAGCTGAGTTACAGCAACTTAGGGATCTGAGGAGGGTGAACCAGGAATTGCTTGTCCAAACTGAGGAACTTCTGCAGAAGGAAGCAACTGAAGATGCTCAATTTGGAAGCCATTTTGGAACAAGATGGACTAGGCCGCAGTCCAGTACTCCGATGAAGAATTTGCAGGATAGGTTAAATAGATTTGCAGGTAACTTAAAGCAAGCTGCAGAAAGTGATGCTCGAATTGAGCGTTCAGTCAGAGATAATGCTGCACTCATGTCAATCCTTGATCGTCGTCCTGTATGTGTCTCTAACCATTTACTGTAGTTCTGTTCCATCCTTATACTATAGGTCTTGCACGGTGCAAATAATCATTTGGCAATATTTTTGTTTCAATCTTTATTTTTATTTAATTTAAAATTTTGAACAGTGTTAATGTATATGATGAAATTTGCATGCTAATAAGAACCTTGAAAGCAGTTACTCTCTGTCTCTCTTGGTTACTCACTAACCATTTTCAAATATTACGGTTCAATTGGATATTTGATCAGCTTAAGGGTTTTCAAGTTAGCTGTTTTAATTGGACATTTTCTTTATAGGTTTAAAATTAAATACAATAGATTTTCTTCCTGTAGGTTTATTACGTGTGTCCTGACATATTTGGATTTCTCTCTTTTCAGATAGAATCTGCTCTTCCAACTCTGGCTAAGCCAATAATGTCTTTGGATGCGACTGAGGATGCTATTGTGGGGGGCCTGAAGCAGAGCTCGGTAATTTCTAATTTCCATCACAAATCTTGGGCTCATGTTCTAAATTTGTTATGACTTCTGTATTATTAATATTACATACCATATTTGTGGTTTTCCTCCCATCTTTCCCACCTCAACCATAAAAGAATAGGGGAAAAAGATTAATCACGGGGCCCATTAATTTTGATTGTAGAAACCATTCATTTTACTCCACTAGCAATGAGTGATATTAAGATTTCTCTGTTTACTACAATTAACTTCAGGACTGTGCTTGATGTTTAATTTATTTGGCGATAATGTTGTTGCTAACTTCTTGATTGAATGTAACCTTCCTTTTTTTTTCCCCTGAAGTTCCTTAAACATGGGCATACTCAGTAAATCTGAATGAACATGTAATCTTCGAGTCAGTGGCTTAATATCTATTCTTATGTAACATTGAACATTAATTTTATTGTATCTAGGTGACTTGGGTAATACTTGCAACTGCTTGGAGATTATGTGTAACTTGCTGGTAGAATTGTTCACTAAATTTTAATTTATTAAAGTGAGACTCCTTGATTCTAATGCTCCCTTGGTCCAACATGTCATATGGGTAAGATTGTCTTATTGTACATTTTCTATTAGTAAATTACTGTGGCGTGCCTTCCTTCATGATACTTGGTTATGGGTGATTATTTCTCTGTTGCAAATTAATTGTTGCATTTGTTTGTATCATACATTTCAGAGGCTTCTTTACATGTATGAAGCGAAAATATCATACATTGATTTCTCTTTTTATTAACATCTCTGTGCCAGTGATGTTGCTTCCAGTGTATACTTGGCTTGGCTTATGTTATTTATGCATATGGCTTCAGGATGACATACTACCAAAGTTGATGACAATCACTGGATCATATGAGGATCTCTTCAGGAAGGAGATATCGAAGTATGATCGTATTTGTGAAGACATTGCCCATAATATCGAGGCACAAGAGCAATTGTTGTATCAAATTCAGGTTACTTCTTGCTTCTACCATGGTTTTCTAAACTTACTTTGCACTCATTTCAAAAGTTCAAAAAGCCTCTACATTTGCCTATATTTATATCTGATGTTTTCATGGTGATCAATGCTTGTTGACGTAAAAGATTTTAATGGTGGCTAGAATATATAATCTGGAAAAGCGTGACCTGTAGACATAATAAGTGGCTAACTGCAGGGACTGTCTTTTCCATGTCATAATTTTCTTCATGTATTGGTAGATCATAGATGTTTGAGCTTCTTCATTAGTATCCTTCGAAATCAATCATCTACAAGAAGTGAATGGCATTCTAATATCCATTTTTAATCTTGAAGATTACAGAGGTAGCTGCTTATTTATATCCTGATTGAGAATTCTGTGAGCTTCTTTTTAATATTCATCGGTTTGTGTGTTAATACGATAAATGTTTGAGGTTCTTTTTGCCTCCCTAGACGTCAATTATATACTTAGAAGGTCTTTATAGTTTGGCTTATATCCGAAATTGTATTTTCCTGTCTTACTTATGCTGTTAGTTTGCGTTTTCTCATTCAAGTGCTGTATCCATCTATAGCGTAAGTACTGTTATTTTCTTTTGATTTTGTTCATTTCTCTTTTTTTCTCTCAGCATCCCGAGAGAAGTGTTATAAGCAAATTCAAGCTGCCATAGCCAAGAATCGTGAAATTAAGGAGAACATTAACGAGGGATTAAAGTTTTATGTTACCCTTCAGGTAAGAAATTGCTTATTGCTTGCTTAAGGTTGTAATATTTGGAGTCATTGTATCCTCAAATTGTTGAAGTGGATGTTATTTTACTTCCTCTTTTCACTGTTGATGAAAATAATCGGTTGTTGTGTGAACCCGCCTACTTTTGTGGATATTTCTCATGTCTTCACTTGATGAACAGGACGCAATTACAAATGTCAAGCAACAATGCAGTGATTTTGTTATGACCAGAAACATCCAGTGTCGAGAAATGATCGATGACGTACAGAGACACATGGCAGGTCTCAGTTTCCAGGACCGCAAGACCTCTGTTTCTTACGATGGCGGCTACCCTTCAGTAGGACCACCTCCTCATCAAACTCCGAGGTCGACTGCACTGCCGCAAACAGAACCTCCAAACACACCACCCATGCCTCATCCCCAAAGTCCTTACTACCGGCCTCCAGAGCAGCCAACTATGGCCGGGTATGGCCACCCCCCTCCCCCCTATGGCACCCAACAGCAATCACATCCTTACCACGCACCCCCTGCACCTGCTGCTCCCTACCCGCCTCAACATCCACAACAACAGCCACTGCCAAGCCACGAGTATGGCCAACCTGCCTACCCAGGGTGGCGGGGGCCTTACTACAATGCCCATGGACAACAACCCGGATCTCAGTCACGACCTCCTTATACAATTCCATCTCCATACACGTATCCTAACCAAGGCGGGTACTATAAGCAATAATTGTGTAGCATCTATTATTATTTGTGTGAAATTTTACAATTTACTGATTATTTGTGTAAAATATAATTAATGAAAGAGATAGATTATGCATTAAATTAGATAAATTCTGTGGATAGCAGATTGTTCCATGATTTTTTAAGACATTGACTCCATGTAAATTTTCATGATCTTTTGACAATCCTAAGACGTTTAAGAACTATAAACAAATGCTCTTTAATGATATTAGAGATTTTGCAGGTGTCTATATTGGCTTTTTTTTTTCTTTGTATTTTTCATTGAACAAGTTTCTAGATGTTGCTTCATATATCAAGGTTAACTTACAAATACATCCACCCTAGACTTTATCTTATTTATGGATGCAGTAATCATATCTCGTTAACTCGATATTCTGACACAAATAATCAGACACTTTAAAGTTTGTCAAAATGTAAGGAGTAGAGTTTAAACTTACAGAAATTTCAAGACCTAAAGCACCATTTATATTAGAAGCTTCTGCTCTTAGCCTTTACATGGAACTTGAATCAATGTATGTGGATATATGTCTCTTGCTGTAAATCACATGTAGAGTGATATTTGTCACTAAAAGGGTGTTTCTTCAAGTATTATTATTTTTTGTTTTAGGAATCACAAATGATTCTAAGGACCCATGTGTGGATACTTTCCGTTCAACTACCTTACCCATGTTGAAGCGCTTTGGAGTTCCTTCTGAAGGATTAGGGCTGAAAATATAGAGTCGTGGAGCTCCACCTCATGTTGGGGGACAAGTTATTGTGACTATTCCAGTTATTGATAAGTTAATGGTGAGCCTTTGAATTTTAATGTAGTACACTGTAAATAGAATGTTTTCCAAAAGATTACAAGGTATAACCTTGGTGCACAGTGCATTGAAAACAGTAACAGCAAAAGACAAGATAGAAGAGGGTAGAAGAAAGTGCATGGAATTAAAAAATTGTTGGCTTTGCAAGGTTCTAAAGTTTTGAAAAAAGGTTATTTGTGCAAGAGAGAGAGCTAAAAAACGGAAGAGAAAAAACTGACAGCAAAAGCACTTGTATTTTCATTCAAAACAGAGAGATATATGGTCAGCATACAATACTGTTACAACCACTTCACACCATATAAATAATCTTTAAAATGATCACCGGCTGTCTTCACCTAAACAATATATAAACATCACTTGACAGACAGCCCCTTTAATTCAAAAACTGGCGCCAAACCTTCAAACCAGCCATGCAAAAAGTTTCCAGCAAAATATCATTTGCTTCAACAAAAATGACTGACAAAAAAAGATAAGAATCTGTGGGAGGCTATCTATTTTGTATATTTTTCTTATGCTTTTTCTTTGTACAGGCAGTTAATTGGCTTGTTGACGGAATGGTTAAAAGGATTAGAGGGGTCACCTACTCAATCAGAGTGTACCATGATTCATGCTGCTCGTGGATCGTGGAATAATCAATCGTGTGCTTCCAGATGTTCACATCTTTACTGATCATAAAGCTGGTCCTGAAGCTGGAAAGTATGGTCTCATTTTGCTGTAGATATTATCTTTTTTCTTTTAGGGTATATATATATATATATATATATTGTGCTAAGTACAACATATCTCATCAAGAGAAGCAATTTGATGGCAGGTCACCTGGTTATGGAATTTCACTGGTTGCAGAAACTACTTCTGGTTGCTTCATTTCTGCTGATACTGCAGTATCTTATGCACAAGGAGAAGTAGGTGAAATTGATAATGATGAGGAGGAGGAGTTGATGCCGCCGGAGAATGTTGGTGAGGACATCGCTTCATTTCTTCTTGAAGAGATTCAGAAAGATGGAGTTGTAGACTCGACACACCAGGTTGTGTTATATAAATTACTCCCGTATCTTTACATCTTTTGACTTTTCTCATTATTTTGATGAAATATTCTGAAGGATCTCTTTCCATTTCTCCATTGATCGGAATTGAATGATTTGAATTATAAGTTGACTTAGGAATTTAGCACTTTAAGTCATCATTTGTGACTTTAGGCTAATTCTCAACTTCTTCCATCCCTCCAGTCCTGTGGTCTTTTGATGGAAACCGTTTGGTTTACATACCTTTTTAACTCTAATTTATGTTGTCTCCCCTTAACCTTTATAACTAGTTGTTTATTTTTCCAAATTTTGGCTCCATAGCATTCCAAGAAGCAAGGCTAATGTGATGTAATCCCCCTTTCTTTTTTCTAATAATTTTTCAGCCCGTCTTGAATTGTTTTTATTATTGGAGGACTTCTCTTGAATGATGCCATAGTAAGAACATAAACTTTCTTTTCCCTTGCTTTCTCATTATATAATGTGGAATAGCTTTATCCTCTCAAAATATTGGGAATAGCCACATTGCAAAACTATTATCCTCTCAAAATACTGGGAATAGCCATAATGCCAAACTACCTACCTTTGTAGTAGAAGTGCACCCTTTTTTCGGATGCAATACAAAGGTTTTTCCCTCAGCTCCTTTGTTCATAAACTGAGTTCTTTCACAAAAATATATACCTTAAAAACATTGTGTTCAGCTTGACAATTACTATGGCTATTAGTATAAAGTGGGGTTCTTATATGTATCTTCAGCAGTGCTTATCATTTGCAAAATAAAGCTGAAATATTATCTAGTTAAGCCAGCATTTTAATACTTATGTGGTGCCTTCAACATCATAGCAACGTGATATAAGGCTTGCATTAATTTGTAGGATTAGCTCACATTTTAGCTTTGATTCCTGTTATTGATACAAAGGAGAGAGAAAAAGGAGAAACCGGAGGAAAAAGAAATGAAATGCTGTCAGTGATGTGTTCTGTTAGTTATATTTCCGTTACAACACCTGACCATAGTAGTTGTTATATTCTGTTTGTAGGGTTTGTTATTTCTTCTCTGTGCGTTGTGCGAACCAGATGTTTCTAAGGTTCGTGTTGGAAAGCTGTCGCCATATGGAATAGAAACACTCAAAAGCATCAGTGATTTTCTTGGTGTTACATTTGACATTAGGCCAGATCCATCAACAGGGACAGTTATACTTAGATGTGTGGGATGCAGATATAAGAACCTAGCGAGAAAAGTTTCATGATTATTTCACATAGCAGAAGATGTTATTGATTTTATACAGTAGATGGTATGCTTCTTGCTGTGGATAGTTATTTTCAGCAGTCGTAGATGCTTCAATTGGTGAGATTAGGATGCTTCTTATGCTTTGACAGGGGTGAGCACGGGTAGCAGGTAGAACCGGAACCGGGGGTAAGAACCGGAACCGGAACCGGAACCGGAACCTACCCAGAACCTGCACTGTGCGGGTAGGTTCCGGTTCCAATTTTTTGGAACCGCTACTGTGCGGTTCCGGTTCCGGTTCTTACCCCCGGAGGAACCGGAACCGGAACCTGTAAAAAGGGTACCCTGTTTGGAACCTGTAGGGGGTACCCTGTTTGGAACCTATTTTGGAACCTGTTTGGAACCTGTTTTGGAACCTGTTTTGGAAAACGTTTGAACCTGTTTTAGAACCTGGTTGGAACTGTTTTGGAACTGTTTGGAACCTATTTTGGAACTTGTTTTGGAACCTATTTGGAACCGTTTTGGAACCTGTTTGGAACCTGTTTTGGAACCTATATTGGAACCTGTTTTGGAACCTAGTTAGAACATTTTGGAACCTGGACTATAATGAAATATTTGTGAAATGTAAATAATGGGGGAGTTTCTATTATTTTATATATAAAAAATTTAAAATGGAAAAAGTTAAATTTTTAGAATAACCTAATTAAATAAATATACGAATACAATATAATTATTACATATAAATTACACCATATTAAAAGCTTTAATATATTATATACATATATTAAAGTTTTGATCAATAGTGAATAATTGGAATTATGATCCAATTAAAAGTGTTTACATTTTTAATGTTATAAAAGAATTATTTTTGAATAAATAGTATATTTGATTGAGTAATAATATATTAGTTATTTACTTCAATTATCAAGTTCTAAGTATATTATAAAATTAGTAATTAATAATTATATAGATAAATTGATAAACATAATAAATTTAATTACTAGTAAATATCATACTTAATCAATATAACATTACATTATAGTTAAATGATACTTAATTAATTATAATTTTATAACATTACTTATTGATTTATAGTATAATTAATTATAGCATTACATTAATTGATTACTACTTAATTAATTGACTTTATTATAAACATTAGTACAAACAATTAAATGATTAAAAATTTAATTAATTATAATATTACATTAAAAATTATAGTATGTTATTTAATAGTTAATTCACTATAACATTACATTATAGTATGATTATATAATTAATTATAAATTATATAATTAAAAATTACTTAATTGATTATGAGTATGATATTATGTTTTAAACATTAGTATTACTAATTTGCTACATAAACATTAGCATTTAGCAAATACTTAATAAATAATAAGAAATTTAATTAATTATAACATTACCTTATAAACATTTCATCATATACATTAATAAACATTATTATAGTTAAATAATTACTCAATTAAATTATAATATTATTATATTATATTATATTTAGATCACTTACTTAATATAGCATTACATAGTTAAATGATTACATAATTACATAATTAGTTATGAATTTATAACATTACATTATAACATTAGTAATTTACTAATTTACTATATTATTACATTACTTAATTAAACGATTAAAAATTTAATAATTATAACATTATCTTATATATTTATAATATAATTACTTAATCAATATACATTCTATATTAAATATTAGTTATAATCAAATGATTTGAAATTAATTAATTATATATTAAATTATAGATTTATAGTATGATTATTTAATTCATTATAACATTACATTATACTATTATAGTATGATCATAAATTAATATAACATTACATAATTAAATAATTACTTAATTGATTATGAGTTTGATATTATATTTTAAACATAGTAATTACTAATTTACTATATAACATTAGCACAATAC